ATGTAGAAAATAGTGAATACGAGATTTTAACGATGCAGAAAAGAATAACTTTTATAATTCAGCATCGTCTGTCTTCTCAAACGAAATCGCGACAGTGTACTAAGCAGCTGCGTTTCAACGAGAAGAGCAACTCTTACGAGGCTGCGAACTGCTTTTACAACCCTCCCGGGACTGGAAGAATCATGGTTTCGTAAACAGAGTGGCCCATTTCGCCACGATGAATTCATGCGTTCCTCGTTCAGTTCCCTCAACACATCCTCCCCTCTGAAGTCCATCGATGATATAAATTTTCGCGAAAATCGTAAACTACGTGAGAAGGATAGAGGTAGCGTGGGTTTATCGCGTCAGAAGAAGTGGAACGGTCTATAATATGATCGATTATTGATCCTCTCCGCGCTTATTACCGAGATGTTACCCGTTGTAATTATGATATAATTAATTTCGTTATTCCGCAATTGATACGGCACAAGCGTCACACCTTGTTACTTCGAATATAATTGAAGTGAAAGAAGTTTCCTTTTGCTGAAGCACCCTCCTCACAACCTATCCTATCGTGATAATTATAATTACGCGATTCGCAGACTAGATTCGCAAAAAAGATTCATTCGAAAGATCTATCTGTTAAAAAACCCAGCTAATATCCGGAGAAAATTTCAAAGTTAGTTTACCTTCCGACTTGAAATCTTAGTACATCGCTTAGTCGGACAGTTGAAATTTACGATGAAAGTGCTGGTAATGCAGCGGAACGAGTATTGGAATAGATACATCCTGGCCACCGTGGAAATTTCACGCTGGTCTAAAATAAAAGCTGGAGATTCACGGTACGCAGTTGGCACACGCGCGTCGATTAATAGTCGCGTATCAGGGGTACCGGCAGTGTCCGCTGCCCTGGCTTCTCTTCCCTAGTATTTCACTAGTATTTCGGTAGAGTTTCGGTAGTATGCGCTTACCAAATATTCCAGCGGAATTTTTCGCATTTTGCGGCGAACGTTTAAAACGCGGCGTATTAGTTACGATACACGTAACAGAAAATACCCAGGGCAGCAGCAGCAGCGGCGGCACGGGAAGGTATTGTAGTTCGATACGTGTTACGGGTTTATCGAGGAATCTTCTTGGCGCATTTGCCCCGCTGTATCGACGCATATTTTAGGTCAACGGATCTTCACCGTTCTCAGGCTTCTCGCTATTTTATTCCTTATTGTAATGTGCAGGTGAAATTCTCGGGTATTCCGTCGAAATTCGACCGAAGTGTAATTAAAACGCGGGGCCGCGCGGCCGCGACCAACTATTGGAAATTTTTTCATTCATTCCCGCCGGTCCATGGTTAGAAAAATAATTTACTCTCGTCCCTTGCCTATATCATTCTTCATCGTTGAATTTTTGTTAGCGCCTCCAAGCTGTATAAATGTACGAGGTATCTTTCTGATGGCGAGCCGGTTATCCACTTGGAACGCAATAAACGTCGCCATTAAAATTTCGTATTTACCGAATAGAAGTCGACAAAAGGCAGCTAGAGCCCTGGGTGTCCCATATCTTGAAAGCATCGGTGAAGCCTATCATTATAGCTACTGCTCGATTTGAGAACGCTGAGCCGCTTCTGAAGGATTACGGTCGCGCGCATCCTCCCGTGCAATATTCATGATAATGGCAGCGTGACGTGAAAACGCCTGCCACCAGTATTCACCGATTGTATCGCGTGCAAATAGAATTCTCGACGAGCAGTCTAGGGGACTACGAGATTTGAAAAGATCCGCAGAATCTCGGTTAATTTCCGATCCATCGATTCCCTCTGCCTGTTTTAAACACCTCCTATTGGATCTAAATTTCTTTACACGGCCACGTGTTGCGGTAAACGTTATAATATGCCTCCTCATACCGATGGAATTACTAGTACTTACCATCGGTAGAAAACTAGCGAAAAAGAAAAGAAAGAGAGCAACAAAATATGGAAAAATGTGGAAGGTGATATATATACACACATATAAGTGCATTGTTGCAAATGGCGCTAAGCTACGTTTTCCGGTTGACATTAGCTAATTTAGAGTGCCACCCACGTTATTCCGGTCGCCGAAATTACGCCGCGTGGGCGCTCGTGCACCTGACTCTGCACGTGTGTTCCTCTCGTAAAATAAATTAGAAGGCAACCGTCTACTCTCGAGACGTCCTCTTCTTCCTCTTTGCCTTATTCCTGTCTGAATGAACCTTCAAAAATAGTGTCGTCACAGCTGCACGAGAGCCTAACGAACCGTTGCTTGGCCGGTGTACGCTTAATAATCACTAATTGGCCCATTATTATATCTGTTTAGCGGGGAATTATAGCCGCAATAGCCGTCGAATTCGATCCGAATTATCGTAACAGATAGCCACGGGCTGCTTTCATCGAGACAAGCCGCCGTTAATCTCTTCCCAAATGATTGATGCTTAGTGGAGTTTTAGAACTACATGGGCTATACGATCCGTGCACAAAGGGAATCATTAAGTAAGGTGTCCAGTATCCTCGTAATTGATTAAAGATTCAAAAATCTGGATCTTTGCGTCCTCCAAGGAAGAAAAAGAAAGCAAACTTTTGCCAAAATGTAGCGCCGTCGACGCGGAGCTGTGTGTAGAAAAAATAGTAGTAGAAGAGCCACGTTTTCTCGATAAACGTAGGCAAGACAAAGTGAAAGGGCGAATGAAGAGAGATGAAAGCATGGGCGTAATAAATTACTGCGATCCAACGAGCGAACGATACAAAGAGCGCGGATACTGCGAGTCATCTTCGAAATGATTTGCCGCTCGCGCCCAGTCACAAAGCTTGATTACCGTTTTCCTTGTTCGATCTGCACGGGATCTGCGAGCCATCCCGTACGTTGGGAACAAAGGAAGTCTCTGCGAAGAAAGAGTTAATCGCGACTTCATGGCTTGTCGACGGAGCGCCAATAAAAAAAAAGGGGCACCCTGGTGTAATTGCGACGACGTGGCGGCTCTCTCTCTCTTTCTCCCCCTTGAAAGAGCTTTAATCAAAACTGCGCGGCAGAGAGCAGACCTACTTTTTAGGTGGAACTCGCGCGACTCGCGTCTGACCTTTCCGCCGTTGAGCTGTCTGGAGACCAGCGACAATCACGCATTGTCCCTGCCACTTTGTTTCACGGTATCAAAACAGTGGGTCAGAGCACGCGAACGCTTCATGAGAGCAACGACGATTCTGTCGACGGTGCATAGGGAACATTAATAACGCTCGAGAAATCTACCCTCGCCGGTTTCGTCTCTAATGAAATTGCCTTCGAACTATCTTGACATGAAATATGGAAACGTTTAATGCATGTCCATCGTGAATACGAAGTATAAGGCTTCGAAAAGAATAATACTAATTCTTGCTGGAATTAAGCTCAACCCTCATACTTATTCTAAGTTCAATTAAGATTCGAAGGTTAGTTATGCTAGTCGATCGAGCAGAGATCATCTCCGGAAAGTTTCGTGAGAGAAAAAAGCGGCAGACGTAGCGATTGATGGTGAAAACCAGGGTGAATCACGGCGAGGCGAAATTAGAAGCGCCTTTTATCGCGGAATTGCACCGGCTTCTCGGCCAGGAGAAAAGCTGTGGGTTTCCCGCAACCTGACTGAAATTCACCGCACCAATTACCGCGCTCCAAATGTATTTCGTCTCCTTTGAAGTGTATTTCGGGCTTTTCGTTAGATGCAACAATGGCCTGGTGTCGCCGCCGCTTTCTTTGCCCTATTATGCCTTCTCTGACGCTTTCGACTTTTCTGCCCGCACGAGACTACCTTTAATAGCGGGATATGCCGGCTGCTTAAAAGTGCCACGTAAATACCGATCGGTTTATGCTTCGTCGCGAATATCGATAACCCGAATTTTTCTACTAATTTTTCACTATTTTATCCCACTATTTCTTCTTCTCATTTGTCTGTAGCACAGAGATTAAGAACGCGGGTGATTCGTTAATCCTTTCGTTTGTTTCCACTTATTAAGAAGAAGTCAACTGACGGTATTATATCTGTCGTAAAAGTTCTCAGTGAGCAATTATTAAAATCACAAAGTGTAATTGAACAAGTGCACCGCGTCATAATCCACTTCGCAAGTTCAATCAAGGAAGCACAGGTTCCTGGTGCTGCTGCTTCTCAGCATAGTTAGACGTTGAACTTGATTATGAAGTCTCTTTCAGATGCGCCATTCAAAATTCAAAGGAAATTCTTCTGGAAAATATTTAAATTTGGTCGAAGTATGTAAGTTGGGTACAGCTAGAAAAAATTTCTATTCGAAGAACGCGATTTAATCGTCACGGAAGAGTTTAACGAGTACGAGAAACGATGCGGTGGGAAGAGACTTTTGCGAGAGGTTTTTCGACGCGAGTTTACATCCTCGTAGACGCTGGTAGATGCTCGTGTCGCACACAAACAGCATGCACTACAAACAGATCTAATAGTTCCAACGAAGCTTCCACAACAGGAGACTACGGGTTCGCTTGTACGTTGGTGGGGGGCAGCCGCCTCGGTTATCTGTCTCGGTTACACCGAATCCTCTGTTAGCTAACGTTGAAATACGTTCTATTCGCGAATTCCGTACATCTTCCATACAAACCGTTCTATCGCTTGTTTTTTCCAAATTGTCGGGATATCCGGGAAAAATCGAAGAATCGTTCTTTTTCCGGCGAAACGCTAAGTTATAGTTCACACTATAAACTTAACAGGATTGGATTTCTTATTAACTGATAAACTCCAAATTTTCATCGATCCTCTGTGCTTCTACTGTGTTGTAAAATAAAAAAAAAAAAACTAGCCAAGTATAAATTGGTAGAAAAATCGTAAAGTAAAGGTTCGAGGACGACAAAGATTGGAATTCATCGATAAGTAAAAAGAGGAGAAAAATAGTACCGAGGCGTCTGCGCGAGCTTCCGCTCTAGTCTCTTGGCAACCTCCAACATTAACGAAGCTTTCGAGACTCTTAAGAGGCTTCTAGTAATAATTTCCAAAGCGTGATAAGCGGTGACATAATCACTTACCAGTTCTCCAATATGCCGACGTTCGAGAAGTTTGGCGGAAAGCTCGCGGCCGCCATCGGTGGTCGCGGCTGCACCCTCTGTCTGTCCTGTCACTTCCGGGACTCTTCACGGCTTTGACGCGTCACTGAAATTAGAAACGATCCCCTTGATTAAGCTGCCAACCATGAAATATCTATCTTTAAAAATCACTCTCCACAGCAAAGTGAGAAAAAGAAGGCAGTCTAGGCCAGACCAAAACTAGACATCCGCACACGAGAGAAATTCCCAGGGAAAATTTTCACGGATGCTCGTTAGAGAGAGGAAAGAGGGAACAAAATCAAGCGGGTACAGTTAGAAGGATCCGCGATACAATTTCCATTTATCACTTAAAGCGTCGCTGGGAGATTTCGGTGCTGGGTCCGCGTCGCACCGGCACCCGGTATCGGTAATGAACGATCTATTGTGCTGGTAGGTGCTCTTTCAAACAGCAAGAGAGACGAGGTAAGGGACGAAGGAGCAACTAGAGAACGAGCGAGCGGGAGACCGGGGGAGGCGGGAGAGAGAGAGAGAGAGAGGAAGAAAGGGGGTGGCATAGGGGAGGTATGAAAACGGCACTCGTTAATGGATTCCTACCAGACTCTTTCACCCGGTTTCTCCCCTTCCCTCCGTATCGGTAGTTTTCTCCCTCCCACCCTCTCTCTCTCTCTCTCTCTCTCTCTCGCCCTCTTCCCGCAGCTTTCGTTCTCTCACCTACTTCCATTCCCCCTCTACGTCGCTTTTCCAGCTAGCTCGGCTCCTTTCTTTCTCCAAGGGCCGCGTTTTTATCTTCAGCGTTCGCGTTTCTGCCGCGTTCTCCTTCCTTTCATCCTCGTTCCTTCCCCGACGGCCGCTGTTCTCCCGCTTTCAAACCGCGCGTCGCTTAGTTTCTCCGGTGCTCGGGGCTTTTAACTAACCGAACCAGCTAGCCGGGGAGTTGTTACACGTGTAAGCCCCGCGCATCCCCTTTCTGTATCATTATCGCGCGGCTACCTGCCTTGCTTGTTTACCGCGGCTGCTGTTGCTGCTGCTGCCGTCGTCCTCGGAAAAAGCCTGAACAAGATAAATAGACGGACACGGGGGTTGGATGGATCGCTTTATTATGCTCAGTTAACGGGTCCACCGTGAACAAGGGGAAGCAGGGGGCACTGTATCGTTCGAATGCACACGCCAAGACTACCGGGGAGAGAATACCAGGAAAAGAATCGCGCTAAGAAAAGTGGAGCAACCGGTGCGGCGCAGCGGCAGAAACGTGGAGAGGAATCAGGGAAGATTATGGAAACTGTTAGCGAGGATAGAGAGGAAGATTGGCGTCGGAAAATAGTGGAGAGCTTTGGTAGAAAGGGGGAGGAAGATGTGTGTCTGCGTGGCTGTATGTGGGAGGGAACGGGGACGGGGGAGGAGGGAAGAGGAAAACGAGCAGGAAGAGAGAATTGTTACCGAGAGGAACTGCTTTCTAGGCAATGCTTCGGGCTGGTCTCGTGCACGGTCCATTGTTCTACGCTCGGACTCGGTCGATATCGCGTTAAAATTCTAACGAGATTCTATTTCGAAGCGACGATCATCGATGTCTATCCTTGTTGAATCGGTACCCTCGTAGGAAAAATTCCAATCACCTTTTCTACTCTTGCTATTCTTTATCAGGCAAGATTCCACCACCATTGGTTTGTTCAAAAATTCAATTCAAAGAGGGTCTATAAGATGTACATGGTAGGTATTGCGTGCGATAAATTTGGTTGGAGGTTCCTTTGCATACACAATTTTAAGGGGGGAGGCTGAAGTAAAGAACCTTGGAGTGCAATATGCAAATTCTACACAGGCACTGGAATGTTCCTCATCACGATCCTAATTAACCGACGAATGGGTAAATTATTTGGTAAATTACTGTATTCCATATCATAATGTACGGACCTTCTACGATTAATGTTGTTGATTATTATTGAAGAGGACCTGATCTAAATGATCACGGCCGAAACACGTTCACCCGGTTCCAGTTATTTGTTCAGACTTAACGTTATCAAAAATCCCTTAAGAATCTTATCAGGTACATACCTGTATGCTGAAACAGACCGCCGACATCAGCCAATCAATAAAACCAACCGAAATTTCTAGAGAACGTTCTTTTTTAGTTCGTTTGTCAATAAAACAGATGTTTTCTATCTTTTTATAAAGACGAACACGCCTGTTAAAGTTCAAATAATCGATATTCATTCCGATACACCGGATCGATCGACGATCGTAGAACCGACCAAGCGTTCCGGCGAAAAGTCCGAAAAGCTGGAAAGCCCGGGATAGCTGAGCCGAAAACAGGGCTCGAAGGGGATGCCGCTAATTAGCGGGAACATCGGGGAACGGTAGAAACGAGGCGACTGGTTGGAGAAAGCGACAGCCACGAAATTCATTGTCATCGATCGCCGGCATTGTCTGCCGCCATTGTTTGTCGGCTCGCGCGTCGCTGATAAGGATTGCGATTCCTGATTCGCGTTTCGCGGCATTATCTTTCAAGGATTGTTCGCGAAATGCCGGGGGGAGAGGATTCTTTGTTTTCGTCACGGTTCATCGATCGCTTTGAATCTGCGCGCTCTCAGCTTCCGGAATTAATTGGAGAACGCGGAAGACTCCTTTGGGATTCGGCGCGTGCATGCTCTCTTCAATTTTTCAATGATTTCGAAGGTGTACGATTCAAATAATTCTTATATGTTCAAAAATTGAAGCAGAACTATAAGAGGGGGATCTGAGTTTTTCTTGGAACGACGAGGTTTCCCAAGAGGGCAATATCGACCCTTGGTTAAATTATCAAAAAAATGTCTCCGCCAAGCAGAAGGCAAGATAAAGAAGAGGTGAAAAATTTGTAGGCGGTCCCGTTCCTGATGGATTCACGGCGTTTCACGCGATCTCCGGATGTTAATTCGGTTCGTAATTCGTTTCCGCTTATCCTCGCTGAACATCACAGACATCCACGCAACAAAGTTGGCCGTATCAAGCGGAACACACACGTACTACTTGTTGTCAGATTGGTCCTTTCTCAGGTTAATTAACATCCTCGGAAACGGGTGAATCGCTTTACTCTTCGAGCTGCGTACCAGGGTGTTGTTGAAAATCAATTACAGTCGATAATAAACCTGCGAATCGGGATCCTTTTTAGTAGAGGAAATGTGAAACGCAACTACTTTGCCTTGAGTGGCTTTTCTTGGATAACCAAGAGAAGAGAACGTTTGATACAAACCACCGAGAGGTTTAAAAAGCTTTGGAACGCAAGCAACTGAAACAGAGTGCGATCTTTCGTACGATCTGGGACAAAAACTGGGCAAATTACATAAACGTGGCACAGGATAAGTGAACCAAGCACAACTGGTACGTCCGTAAGTTAATGTATCGCAACATCTTGATAATTCCATTCTTATTATAGACATAATGGCGTACCGAAACTGGCAGCTATCCAAATGAAACATCTGATCGGCCCAGTTCGAAATAGAAGATCTCCCTGAGGTGAAAATAGCTAAATCAAAGTCTTCCAATCTCGAAATCTCTCGATTCTTATTTTTCTACTTAAGAACGTTTTGTTCGTAAAAATGTATTGTTCCCCATACCATGTCCTCTTAGGCCCAACTCAGACGGACCACTTTAGAACCACACCACAGCCACAAAACGGTGGCTGGGCTGTCGCTGGTATCAACCATTAACACGTTCACTGCCACGCCAGATTTACATGTTGCTTTCAGGGGGCCATAAGAAAATTTTCATTAATCTAAGCATGATATTATATTATGCTTTTTTATTATTTTTTTTTAATTCAAAATAATGTCTAGTTATCTACGATGTTCAAAATTTTTAGTTGACGATATTCATTTTATTTTAATTATTCAAAACATTTGAGGCACTCCGGTCACTGATGACCACCGTGACCCCATCCAGGAAACAATATCCGGTCTGAGGTGATCAACGTGGCAGACAACATGATGAAAAAGTGGTCGCGAGTGGTCCGTATCGACAACGCAGCGTGTATTTTTTATTTTCGACACTAAAGAACTATTCTTTAATAATTAAAAACCTTTCTTGGTAATATCTGAAAATTGCACAATTTTTGAGTCGAAAATAAAAAATAATCGTAATATCTACAACGTATCCTAACGTCGAGTGGTCCGCATGGTCGGCGTATCGCACCATGTGCGTTGTGCTCGACCACCGCACCGACGTATCGGCGACAATTTCGTGGGTGATACCGACCACGCGTTGCGACAGCCATCGAAAAGTGATCCGTCTGAGCACTACCACGCGTTTCCATTCTAATTCATGACCGCCTACAGGCGACCACCGTTCTGTGGTTGTGGTGTGGTTCTAAAGTGGTTCGTCTGAGTTGGACCTTATAATAATCCCCACCAAAGCGGCAACTAACCCACCACATCATCGTCCCTCCAAACACCCCAATGTACCCCGATGTACCCAAAGCAAGTCGGAAATCCCCGTCAGGAGGCAATCGTCTTGATGCGATCTCCCACGGCGGCAGTCAAGCAACGATCACGAGCTCGCCACTTTGTTTCAATGCGAGGGTGTTTACAGACAACCTGTGCCTTTTGGGATGCAATAAATCCTGACGTAATCTTTTAACGCCACTATGACACGCGTGAAATAATGTTCAGTTAATATACAGGGTGAGTCACCTAAGACAAGCCACCTCAATAACTTCAACATTTTTTGAGATATGAAGAAATGTTTCAGACAAAAGTTATTTAGTTTCGAGGAGCTCATTACGTGGGGTACATAACTTTTTTTCAGGTGGAGGTGCTTAGGAGATTTGAAAGTCAACTTAGTTTTTTTAAACGGAATTACATATTTTTGAACTCCGCCGATTGTAGCCCTTCTCGAGACAATTTCAACGACTATAGTCATTCAAGGTCATTCAAGGTCATAAGGGAGAGTCGTGCAGTACCGGCCAGCGTACACTACCGGCCAAAGCTAGATCTCGCTTATACTGTTAGTTGACTGCACTATTGATGGAAAAACAAATGAATACTATAGCCCTGAGCAGCATATGTATTCCGGCGACGTTCTTTTTTCTTCAGTATTACCAGAGTTCTAAGCGTTTAACGTTTACGCTGGTGTTCCGTACGACAAAAGTTATTTTTCATAGCTGCAATGGTTGGGCTCACGTGGAGTGTACGGATCAAAAAAATATCGATCACTTTACCTGTGATATTTGTAGACGTGCCTAAATAAAAATTCTATTCTATTTTTAAACGATTTTTACTAATATTATTTATTACTTAGATCTTAAAATCTACCAACTAAGTCGATGGCCGGTACTGCACGACAATTTTTCGTTCGCTGCAAATTAGAACTTTTTTATTTCTACGAATTATTTATCTTTATGAGAAAATTTAAGAAAAACCATTTGTCTCCTTTTATCAAGCACCCCTTTTACTACAAATTACTTTTTTGAAATTTCATTTTTATCAACATTAGCCCAAGTTATAGTAGAAAAACTTAGAGTGGCCGGTACTGCACGACTCTCCCCTACTACCTAATTTATTAGAAGATGTTCCAATAAACGTGCGGAAGTTTTTATAGTACCAACACAACAGTTGTCCAGCACATTCTGCACGGAGAGTTACTACATAATACTTTGTACAATACATTTAAAAATCGTTGGATTGGACGATCTGGACATCGAAAATGGCCACCGCGATCGCCAGAACTAACGCCATTGGATTTTCTTTTTATGGGGAAAGTTAAAAGAAGATGTTTAGCGTGAAGCACCCACTACAAAAGAAGACATGCAGGAACGCATACAAAGAGCCTGTGCTGCTATTAATCACTACATACACACTTTACTGCGTAACGCAATCAGTGGGCGAACGCTTCAGACGCTGTCTTTCTGTGGCTGGTCATCATTTTGAGCATCTATTGTAGCA